TATCACCCAATACATTGTCGACACGTGTCCCCCCTGCACATGGGGTAAATATTCTCCTGGGACTCAGTTGGAGGCTCTTATGCGCGCCCGTGATACACGCGCCCATGACTAGGCCGACTGTTGGTTCCTCGAAGCGATCGACCTGTTGAGGTCGAATAGGTTGCCCGATCATGTATCTGGTCGAGCAATGGGTTGGTCGATCACTTGTCTGGTCGTGTGATGGACTGGTCGACCACTTGCCTGGTCGACTATATGCATGATCGATTCTCCCGTTTCTCGTCTTGGCTTCCTCCTAGTTTGATCTTCTCAACCGGTGGAGTAGACCGGTTTATCCTTGAGTATATAATATCCCATATCATCTAGTCCCCCCCCCACTTTGGTCGGGTCTAAATGACTCGATCTAAGAGTGAATTCGTATCTATTGACCTTCTGGATGGCTCGTCGTCAAATATCGATCAGCTGGTAAGTTTCCCGCTTATATTTTCGAATAATTTTCCCTTTATCGCTATAAATAAAGTCGTTTGTTTCAAGTCCTTGCTGTCGCACCCACTTTTCTGCCACGCGTCGCATCGGCTGCATGTGTCAGGCGCTTTAATAATGACACTCCTTCGCATACCGTGCCAACCTTGAGTGTCGTGTAAATTAATGCCTCCTACCGTACGGTCGGGCTTTGATCTAACGGTCTTCATCTTCTCATCCCTTAAACTTCCCCAAGTATAAATCCGACACTTAGTAAAATTTCGGACATTTTCCACCTTCATTCTCCCCCAAATTCCTTTGTATTCAAAATCCTCTCTGCAAAAAATCCTAGCTTCCGTCGGCGATTCTTCCTGCAATCTTCAAGCTTTCCCGATCCTCTTCTCCGCGATTATGAGTAAGTTATTTTTCCCCTGATTTTGTACTTCATGTATCTGGGATTTTGTGTTTTGAGAAACTTTTTCTCTCTCTTTTTTCAAATTGGGCATCTTGAACCTTACTGACTGGGTATCTTGAATTTGTGTATTGGGCATTCTTGTTTGGTTGTCAATTGCTGTGGATTTTACTTCCTTCTTCAAAAAGTCCCCTGAAATCTTTGTTCTTCCGCTTTAATTTCTCCGAAATCACCTCTCTTTGTGGAACCCTAGTTTTTCTCTTCTTGATTCCATTTTCGTTGTTTGAATTTCTCTTTCTTCTTCTCTTTTTTTTTTCTTTTTCAGATCTTGTGCCTCCATCTCCTTCCTCGACCACCTCCTC